TGGCCAAAAGGAACGTCCTCCTGATCCAATTTAAAAAAAAAAAAAAAAAAAAAAAAGCTGTTAAGGGGCCAGCAGGTGATGGGGTGGTTAAGGGCACTGGACTCCCACATGGTCAACTGCAGTCCAAGTCCCAGACCTGGTGGCTTGCTTTCTCACCGCCCGCCCCCTCCCCTGTACCTTTCTGGTCAAATTTAAATCAATCAACTAGTCAATCAATCAATCAATTAATCAAATTAAAATAATTCTTTATAAAAAAAGAATAGCTATTGAATCAGGAAGAATATAAGAGAGTGGAATTACATAAACTAAAAAAGAAGACAATTTAAGCAATAGCACCAAAGTTCATAGAGAAATCATGTAAGATGAGACTAAAGTAGGTGAAGGGAAAAAAGAATGAAGAGACATATATAAGGAACATAATAAAGAACAAGAGATTGGTAATAGAGAAAAGATGAGGAAATTTAACTAATCAAAGTCTAGGAGGAAGGGTCAGCAGGTGGCATAGTGGTTAAAGCGTTGGGACTTCCACACGTCTGACCACGGTTTGCTTCCAGACCCTACAGCTTGAAAATAATGCCATGTATGTGCCCAAAAATCCTGAGAGAAGGGATTGCAGTGTGGCCGTCACCACTGGGGGATGATTTCTTACTTTCCCACTTTCTGTCTGTCTCTGGCAACTGCATGTGCCCTATGCAAAAACATAAAAAAAAAAAAAAATCATACAAGGAGCAGAAAAACACAGAATCCAAAACTCAGGCAACAGAAATAATTGAGAAAACCATGCAAACTGAGATAGGACAAAATGTTTACATAAAAATGCAAAATGTTTTAAAATGCTAGCAATGTCCGTTCTTTTTCCCATCCAACACTGAGATTAGATCTGAACATTAGATAATTATAAAGGTCCCTTCCAGTCTAAACATTTTAGATTTCTTTTAAAATGGGGTTATCATTTAGGAAACATTTGTCTTTATACACTCCCAATGGTTATAAAGTATATGAAGTTACCTGGGAAAAGTTAAAGACTGGTTGTGTTGTGCCCCATGAGATGACAGATCTGGTGACTTCCTTCGTGCTAAAAAATTTGCAATTTAAATAAACGTTGCATGACGGTTGTTTCTCAGATCCTCCAGTATTGAAATCTTTCCCATCTGGCACCATCAATAGCATATGCAATAGCAAAGCACTCTCACTTGTTGACCCATTTGTCTGATTTTCTGAATTGTACGAGGCTGGCATAGCCATGGAGGTAGAAGGATCTGGGGTTTTAGGGCTCGGTGACTTTGGGTCAGGGAGCACCAGCTTCCGTGCTGTCCTTGTAGTTTCCTCAGGGATTTGACTTAGGTTCTGGGGATTTCTGGTGCAGGGGATATCCTGGCTGGGTTCTGGCAGTATCTTATCTGGACTTGTAGGAGCACAGAGTGGGGTATGCTCGGTGCTGCTTCTTAACTTAGTATTGACGCCAGTGAAATCTTTATTTTCTATAACAAGCTCCACGGTTACCTGTAAAACATAAAAGGGGAAGAGTCAATAAGAACATCCACTAGAATTGGAATCAGAATTTTGATGCTGGAAGAAATACTGGGTTATTAGGAAATGAATTAATTCATACCCAAACATATTAGTAAGAACATTAATAGACTCCATACTCATTTTTTTAGAATTATTTTATTATTATTATTTAACTTGCTGTAGACATCAGAGCGAGACAGAGGGAGAGAGAGGGAACATGAGGAAGTAAGCCACCAGGTCCAGGGCTTGAACCATGGTCAACCAGGTGGGAGTCCAGTGTCCTAACCACCATGTCACCTGCTGGCCCTGACTGCGTATAAATTAATTTGTCACACTATAAAAGGTAATAGTATATTATGAATAATACTATAACATGGTGAATACTAATACAGTAATAATATAGTATTAGATTATCAATAATATGAGGGGATTTCAAAAAGTTTGTAAACAGATGGAATTAAAGTACAAGTTTATTCTGATGCAAAAGTTTTCAAAATCCATGGATTGTTTTCTTCATAATGTACATTTTCTATGAAATTTTTGAAGACTCCTCCCCATATGAAATTAACCTAGAACATCATACTGTATCAGAAAATAAAGGAGGAAACTAGCTGGTGGCATAACCAGTTATATCACTGGACTCCTACGTAGTTGACTATGGTTCAAGTCTCAAACCCAGTGGCTTAAAAGTCATGCTGGCACATGTGCTTGCGTGTCCAAAATCCCAAGAGGAAAATGGAGGAGAAGGAATTGCAGTGTGGCCATCCCACTTGGGGGCATGATTTCTTGCTTTCTGTCACTCTGTCTCTGTCTCTCCAGTAAGCATATGTGACCTATACAAAAAAATCTCTTTAAAAAAACAAAAGAACAGAAATGCTCAGAAAAGGATGGAGATATGTTTAAAGGACACAGAATCGAGTTGTCCTATCAGTTAAATCTAGGACAACTTGAACACCAAAATGAGTAACAGTAACAGATTATAATTTATTGTATAATATAAGACTTCACAAGTCTATACTGAGACTGACTATTGGGTCATTGGAAAAGTCATGACACATTTTTGCATAGAAAAATACATCATGACTTTTTCTGACAATCCAATAGATAAGGAAGAAGAAACATTTCCACTGCCCTATTTCTTTCTCTCTCTCTCTCTCTCTTTTTTTTTAAATAGGTTTTTGCCGTAGGGTGTATGCACTTGCTGTAGTGAGACAGAGACAGATAGAAAGAGCAAGTGAGAAATCACTCTCCAGGTTGGATGGCCATGTTGCAATCCCTTCTCCTCCATTCTCCCCTTGAGATTTTGGACATGCATGTAGATATACTTGGCATGATTTTCAGGCTGTTGGATCCAGGACTTGAACTGTAGCCACGCAAGTGAGAGTCCAGTACCTTAACCACTACACCACCTGCTGGTTCCTGCTGCCCTATTTTAACACAAGTTCCACAAGAACAAAGATCTTGCTTTTCTTGTTTACTGATACATTCTCAGTGACAGTCAACAATATGTGCTCAGTAACTATTTCTGACTTTTGATAGTATACCTACCCACCTTGAGGGGGCCAAGTGAAGTCTGACCATTTCCCTGTTGCACTGGAAGTTGGTCAGTGAAAGAAAGCAGCTCTGATTGAAGGACAGCTCGCAAAGGAAGTGATGCAGATCCAATGATTTCTGGCTGAGGAAGGAAGGAAGGAAAATATTTAAGTTAAAGAGAAATGACAGGGGATTTTAATTGAAATGACAAACATAAAATGGCTTATAAAAGGATCTGTGTTTTATGAAGTAAAAAGTTGAATTATTTGACTGAGAGGGAAAGTGAAAAATCACCCCCACCCAGTGGGGATGGCCATGCCAACATATCTCTTCTCCTCCATTCTCCTCCCAGGATTTTGGGCATGCATGCACTTGTGTCCAGCATGATTTTGAAGCCACTGGTTCAGGACTCAAACTGCAGTCAGCCATGTGGGAATCCTGTGACATAGCCACTATGCCCTCTGCTGGCTTCCAAAAGTAGTTTATTTTTTTAAAACAGGGTCTCACTGTGTCAAGATCCTCCTGCTCCAACCTCCCAGCTGGGACTACAAGCATGTGCCATCACGCCCTGCTCTTTATCAGACAGGCTCTCACTATGCTGCCCAGGCCATTCTAGAGCTCTCAGTCCTCCTGCCTCAGTCTCCTGAATAGCTGGGATTCTGAGCACACACCATTGTTTCTGACCATTTTGGTTCATTTGTGAACTGAACCTGGGCCTCCCATGTGGTCTCAGCCTGTGGAGCACAGCAGCTTAGCAGTGTGAGCCAATGCAGCTGGATTGTAGTAATATGTACGACACTTGTTGCAATGTTTGATAAAAGTAGGGTAATTAGGGATGGCTAGGTGGCACAGCAGGCATGTGCTGTTCAAGTAATCCTGAATCCATACTGAAGACTGTGAGTTCAGTTCCGAGGTCAACTTGTGCACACTAGGTGTGTGCCCCCATGGTTCTGCCTAGCTAGGAATGTTGGGGAAGGGGACTGTGGCATGAGACCCTGCTAAGGTGTTTGTCTCTGTCTCTCATATGAAAAAAAAAAAAAGGGTATTATTGAACTATATACACAATAAACCTTAAAATAGTTACAAAATTATGTGGAAAAAATCAGGTTTTTTGAAGAAAAATGAATAAATGCCTACAAGACAATGTTCAGTTAAAATAGAACAGGGCCCAGCAGATGGCATAGCCATTATATCACTGGACTCCCACATGGCCAACCGTGGTTTGAATCTCGGACCCAGTGGCTTGAAATTCATGCCAGGTATGTGTGCATGTGTGCCCAAGATTCTGGGAGGAAAATGGAGGCAAAAGGATTGCATTGTGGCCATCCCCCGGGTGATTTCTCACTACCCAAAGGGTACATTCCTTAAGGCAAAAATCTCTCAAAAAGAAAAGAAAAAAAGAAAAAAGCAGGATAAAAACTACATATGAGGACCAGAAGATGGTGTAATAATTACATTGCTGGACTCCCAAATGGCCAACCATGGTTTGAGTCCTGGACCCGGAGGCTTGAAAAATCACACTGGGTGCATGTGCATGCATGCCCAAAATCCCAAGAGGAGAATGGAGAAGGGACTGTGATGTGACCATCCCCTGTGGGGGGTGATTTCTCGCTTTCTGTCTTTCTTTTTCTCTCTGGTGAGCTCACGTGTCCTATAGCAAAAATCTCTCTCTAAAAAATGAAAACAAAAGCTGCATATGAAATTATAGAACATTATATTCATTGAAAAAAGACAAAAGAAGTGCACATACATATCAGTAATAGTTACTAGTAATGGGCCTATAGATTTTAAAAAAATAATTTTCAAGTCTTCTACAAAGACATGTGTAGTTCTTTTATAATTAGCAAAAAAACTATAATCAGGTATGAGGAAATAATTCAATGTAAATATAAATTTTATAAAATTTTAATAAAAGTTGCCTTGATTTTTTTAAAGTTGTGGAATGATGTAAATTTTAGCCCTCCCTGTTTTGCTATAGTTTCCAAAAGAACTGGTACTATTTTGTATTATTTATATCCTCTAAAAAAACCCAAAAAAGCAAAACCCCAAAATGCTTTCCTCATGCTACCCATACAAAAGAGATTAAAAAATGATTAAGGTTACTCTTTTACTGAAGGAAAGAAAAACTGCTCATGTTAGAGTTTATTAATTTATTTTGTGTCAGGCACAAGTGGGCTATTTTTTTAAAAGAATTATTTAAATAATTTTATTTATTATTATTATTTTAATTTTCTATAGGGTATGTGTGCTCATTAGAGAGAGAGAGACAGAGAGAGAATGGGAGAGCGTGAAAGCAGAATACCAGGTCTGGGAATTGAACTGTCGTCAGCCATGTGGGAGTCCAGCACCTTAACCACCATCGTTTGCTGGCCCCCACAAGTGGATTTTAAAACTTCAAATTAGTTTATAAAAACTGCTACCTGATATTGTATTATTCTGGAAATGAGCTGTGTATATTGTGTTCTACCTGTAAACAGAAAGTAGAATAGTAAAGTAAAGCTAACATCCTATATTAATACAGTCTCCTCTCAATAGTAGGGAGCACAGTTAAGAATTTAGGCTCTCTCTGGAGCTGGCAGGTAGCATGCTGGTTAAAGGCACTGCAGGACCAGCAGTTGGCACAATGCTCCCAGGTAGTCGACTGTGGTTCGGGTCCCGGACTTGGTGGCTTAAACTCATGCCAGGCACATGTGTGTGCGTGCCCACGATCTCAAGAGGAGAATGTAGGAGAAGGGATTATGGCATGGCCATCCCCCCTGGGGGATGATGTCTCGCTTTCTGTCTCTGTCTCCCTCTGTCTTTCTGGCGAGCGCATGTGCCCTATAGCAAAAACCTTTTCATAAAAAGTAATAGTGTTACTTGAGCCTGAAAAAAATTTCCAGTTTAGGTAGGAATATAATTTTTAAGTATGCTCCGAATCCTTGATGTGAATGGTCAAAATCACCTGAAGTTACCTTCTTCTGCGGTGTTTTCTTTGCATAAATTTGGAAAGTGAGGGAGGAATTCCACCAGTGCTCTATCATTGGACCACCAAACTGTACCGGAAACACAAATCGCTGCTGGAATTTCACCACTGTAAGGAGAACCAGATACATATGTACAGGTCAAATCTCTAGGTAGAGACATTGAACCACACCTTCACATCATCCATCTCCCGTACAAATATAAGTAAAATCTCTTTCAGGAATTTTCAGTGCGATTTTGCAGAAAGTGTTAGGGACGTAAGATTGGAGGAGCAGAGACAAAGTAAGAACCTTTGGTATAAAGGCAGAAGGTAAATAGTGCCATATCACTCTCCTTTGCAATGAGAAATAAGCGCCAAACATATTAGCAAAAGATGTGTAAAGTATGTCTATATGTATACTTCACTAGGTTTAAGACTATGACCTTTTTTTAAAAAAAAAACTATTTATTATTTATTTATTCATTCATTGATTTTTTAATTTGACCAGAGAGAGACAGAGGGTGGGAGTGAGAGGGAGGAAGTGAGAAAGCAAGCCACCAGGTCGAGGACTTGAACCCCAGTTGGCCATGTGGGAGTGTCCAGCACCTTGACCACCACGCCACCCGCTGGTCGGAGAATATGACCTTTTTTAAAAGAGATTTTTGCTATAGGGTATGTGTGCTCACTGGAGAGACAGAAAGTGAGAAATCACCCCCGGGGGGATGGCCACATTGCAGTCCCTTCTCCTCCATTCTCCTCTCGGGATTTTGGGTATGCACACACATATGCTCAATGTGAGTTTAAGCTGCTGGGTTCAAGACTCGAACCTCGGTTGACTAAATGGGAGTCCAGCAATGTAAGCAGTACGCCATCTGCTGGTCCTGAGAATATGACTTTTTTTGTTAAAGAGATATTTTTGGTATAGGGCATGTGTTCTTGTTGAGGAGACACAGACAGAAGGCAAGAAATCACTCCCCAGAGGGGGATGGCCATGCTGCAGTCCCTTCTCCTCCATTTTCCTCTTGAGATCTGAGGCATGCATGCACATGTGCCCAGTGTGAGCTTCAAGCCTCTGGGTCTGGGACTTGAACTGCAGTCAAGCACATGGGAGTCCAGGGCATTAGCCACTATGCTACCTGCTGGCCCCCAAAATCTGACTGTTTTTAAAAGACAAGTTGGTGGGTAGCAAATAACAAAAGAAAGGGGGTGGCTACAGGTAGAACAATTAGGAAATAATCAGCAAAAGTGAATCAGAATCAATAATAGGCCTAGCCTGAGTGCCACATACTGGGAAGGAAGATACTGCTGCCTGCAGGCTGAGTGAGCCATACCAGGGGCCCAGTTAATGCTAGGCCCACCCTAAAAGTTGGGTGCAGTGGTACATCCTGTGGTCCTAGCTTGTTGGAAGACTGAGGCAAGAGGATTGTAATAGGAGTGTCTTAAAAAAAAAAAAATCCCAACAAACTAAAGTAGCAGAAATGTTATCTTCTGGCTGAAGAACTGGGTATTCTTACTGCCACACTCAGACAAGGTACCAGATACTAATGTTAGTTAACAGTGTAAGGCCTAATAGTTTGTCTCTTGGATGGAAAGAAAGGGGTTTGTACTGTAATAACATGTGTAAATGAGATAAAGTAAGTTGACATTTGAACTTGAGCTCATTGCTATACGGGCTTTCACTGGTAAATAAAAGAATATGAGATAGAATCAAAGGACACGAGTTCAAGCTCCAGTTCTATTACTAGTGATCACCTCAACAACAATTTGCCTGTTCACTTACTTCTAAGGCCCTTAAAATGGATCTGAAGAAACCTCAAAAAAGGCCCAGTAATAAAGAGAATGTAATCTATCTGGCATGCATTTAAACTGTCCATTTTGACTCACTGATTTCTCTATATTCATCTCTGGCCACCTTAACCTTTGACTCTGTATTTTTCTTTTTTGGTTTTTAAGAGAGATTTTTTTTTTTTTTTTGCTATAGGTTGCATGTGCTTGCCAGAGGGAGACAGAGAGAGACAGAAAGCAAGAAATTACTCCCCAGGAGGGATGGTCATGCCATGATCCCTTCTCCTCCATTTTATTCTTGGGATTTTGGGCATGCATGCATATGCATCTGGCTTAAGTTTCAAGCCACCAGGTCCAGGACTCAAACCACAGTGGACTATGTAGGAGTTCGGCAATGAAATCATTACGCCAACTGCTGGTCCTGACTCTGTATTTTTCTCTTGGTACTCTAGGACAGAATCTTGGTCTTGATACTTGGATCCACACATGGAAAACAAAAAAGTCTAGGCCTAGGAAGTCCATATCCATTAGCAGATCAGCTTATTTGCTTTCTCTACTAGAGGAAGGGTAGTAAGGCAACTCCTATACCTCACTGATGTGCTTGGAGGATCAACTGAAGTGACAGTTAAAGAAGCATGTTGAAGGGACCAGCAGTTAGCGTAATGGCTATGTTGCTGGACTCCCACATAGTTGACCGTGGTTTGCGTCTCGGACCCGGTGGCTTAAACTCATGCCGGGCGTGTGTGTGTGCCCGCCCAAGATCCTGAGAGGAGAATGGAGGAGAAGGGATTGCGGTGTGGTCATCCCCCCTGGGGGTGATTTCTCACTTTTTATCTCTCTGTCTTTCTCTGTCTGTCTGGCGAGCGCACGTGCCCTATAGCAAAAAAAAAAAAAAAAAAAAAAAACCTCTAAAAAAAAAAAGAAGCATGTTGAACACAGTAAAATTGTTTATGATAAACAGAATTCTATTTCAATCTGTGCTGCTTAGGTTTCTCCCTATCAACTCAGTTCATTTTGCATGATTACTGTATTTTCCATGGTAACTGAAAACTCAATTCCAACTGGCATGAGTTTCAATTAATAGTCTATGGACAAATTGAGGACTGTTGCATTTCAATGTTATTTTTGGGGAAACTAAGTCTCAGAGAGGTTTTAAGAAATTCATCAAATTTCATGTGATTGAAGGAAAAAACCCAAGAAAATAATTCTTTTTTTTTTGCATATGTGATTGATAAAAAAACAGTTAAACCACATTAATCTCTTCAAACATAATTCTTATGTCAGCCAAAAGGATCATTTGTACATTGCAAATGTTCTGAATAAACCCTAGAGCATCTTCTGCTGCTATTGATAATTAAAGCAGCCAGCCAGGAAGTAAATAAGGAAAATTTTAAATACACTGAAGGTGACCAAGAAGAGTGAAACAATGTAAAAGAGTATATCATGTTATTGAGTTGTCAGAAAGTCATGATTCATTTTTGCACAGAAAAAGATGACTTTTCCAATAACCCAATATTTTAGGTGCTGTTTTAAAAACAAAAAACAAAAAAAACAAAGCAGGTTCACACCATTCACGACTCTCATGCCTCAGCCTCCTGAGTAGCTGGGACTTCAGGTGGGCATCATGGTACCCAGTTTTGAAGGTGGGCTAGGAATCACACCTGTGTATGCTATTGCTGGTTGGCCTTTTAGTGTCGTTCTTCAGTTTGTATGTTAAGTAATTACTTTTAATACAGTTTTTTTTTTTTTTTTTTTTTTTTTTTGCTATATCATGCATGCACTTGCTGGACAGAGAATGACAGACAGAGAAAGTAAAAATTCATCCCCTGTGGGGGATGGTCATGCACTCCTTTCTCCTCCATTCTCCTCTTGGGGTACTGAGCACACGCGCATGCATTTCACTTCACATTTACTAGGATGGTTAGAGTAAGAAATAATGCAAACTAACAAAGTGTTGATGAGGATGTGGGGATATTAGAATCCTCATATACTGCTGGTAGGCGTATAAGAAAAGATAGTCACAGTTGAAAATATTCTGGCAGCTCTTAAGAAAGTTACAAACATAGAGTTATGATATGACTCAGCAATTCTACAGTTACAGATATATATTCAAAGGAAATGAAAACATATATCCATACAAAGCCACATATATGAATGTTCACAGCAGAAACATACAAAATCATCAGAAGTGGAAACCCCAAATGTCCATCAACTGATGAACGGATAAACGAAATGTGATATATCTATACAATAGAATATTATTTATTAAGTCATAAAAACAAAAGTACTGATAAATATAGATAAAACTTGAAAATACTATGTTAAGTCAAAGAAGCTAGTCACAAAAATAACATGCTGCATGATTCCATTTATATGAGATATCTAGAATGGCCAAATCAAGAAATAGAAAGTAGATTAGTTATTTCTTATGGAGGCAGGGAGGAAAATGGGGAGTAAATGTTAATAACTATGGAATTTATTTTGTGGGGATGAAAAAGTTTTAAAATTACATTGTGAAGGTTTCATTACCCTGTGAAAACACTAAAAAACAGTAAATGTGTATTTCAAAATGGGTGAATTATATGGTTTATGAATTATAACTTGATAAAGCTGTCCTAAAGAAAGAAAAATGGCAATAACCAAAAGACTACAATCTACGTGTCAGAAGTTTTGAGTCAGAGTCTTCGTTATGTTACTGCCCTGGTGAATCAAGATGGTCATAGTATCATTGGGCTAGTTTCCTCATTTATAAAATAAAAATGAAAATTCGAATAGATTCATTTAAAAAGTCCTTCTTGCTCTAAGATTCTATAATACTACAAAAGTTAGGTAAGTAAACTTTTCAAAAAAGCAATAAGTCAAAAATGTCTAAAGAGCAGAAAACCAGCCTGTCTCTTACTTCCATCTGTAATTTTACTGGAGGCGAGTCGAACAACCTCAGTGATCAAAGCTGTCTTTCCCAATCCACTTTTGGAGAAGCCCACAGGAAAGTGATATTCCACAAAGAAAGTGCTAAAAATGAAAACAACAAAAAAAGTCATTAAAAAACAAACCAAATGGATACTAAATAGAAAACCACTTTCTGTCTGATAAACCCTGTATTTCTTAGAAGTGCTCTTCTCGAGCCTTTTACCATCCTGTCAGGCAAAATTAAAGGCTCCTTTCCTTGTGCTCCCACTGCACTTTCCATATAAAACACCCATTTTGGCTCCTTAAAGCCCTATGCTAAACAGCCACTTACTGTTTCCCTCTCCTACAGACTGTAAACTCTGTGTGAACAGAGTCTGTACTTAATTTTCTCTAGTCCACACTTACCTAATATAGTTCTGGGGACCTACTGGGGAATTCATCTTTGTTGACTAAATGATGCATGTGAAAACATGTTACCAATCATAAAGTACTATAAAATTCTTGATTATTATCAGATACACTTTCTAATAATGCCAAATTTATTTTTTCTATGTTAGACACATACCGCTTTTTTGCTGTTGTCAGCTTAGGTGGTCTCCCAGCACAGGTTTTTTTGCCAGGGGTCATCTGAGGACTATCTGGAGGAACTTGCATTGTTTCGATGATAATTCTGACCGAATGGGTTCTACCCAGAAGGGCAAGTCTGTCTACACTTAATGCCACAACATGGGTATCTTTTGGAGTTGTTGTGAGCATGGGTTGTTCAACCACGTTTCTGAAAGGCGTTCATACAGAAAAGAGAGGTAGATGATTAGAGGCCCAGCATAAAATAATCTAGTTATAACAGCAAGTGTAAGACAGAGGTACGGTAGCAAATGTATTTTTTTAAAAAAGGAATTATTTAGTTATTTAATTCCATTTGTTATTATTATTTTTTAATTTGACCTGAGAGAAACAGAGAGAAAGGGAAAGCGAGAAAACAAGCCGCCAGGTCTGGTCATGTAGGAATCCAGTGCCTTTAACCTCCACACTACCTACCAGCTCCGGCAGTAAGTATCTTAATTCACAAGTTATCAAGGATCAGAAATGGCTTTAATTATCATAAGTCTGGTCCTAATTTACAGTGATTAAAAAAGATTAAAATGCAAAAACATTCTTGTAATCCTAAGGCTTTTCTCCATACGGGTGTAGAAATGGATTTATAGGGACACAGATCCTAATATTTTAGTTACCCACTATCCAAATATAACTACCACTGCCACTTTTGTGTATTCCTCTGCATTTGCTCTCCTTACACATACTTTCTCATAGGTATGATCGCAGTACATATGCAACCTGGAATTCTGCTTTCTCCCTTAACTATTTTAATTGTACCCATATTTCTGTGGTATTGAAGTTTTAAGGCATGTAATGGTTACTGAGTTGTTGTAACTTAACCATTTCAAGAGTGTTACACAAACACAATTCACATGAGGAGATCTTGTGAAAATAATCTTCCTTTGCTTTTACCTGTAAACAAGCATTTACAGAGAGGCTCACCCATTTTTCCTGCCAATCACCTTCTTCTTCAGCTTACGATCACTTGACTCCAGAACTTTAGAAGACCTGGCAAGAGTTTCTGACTGGTTCATTCTTTTAGAAGGGGTAATATCATCATCTTCACTGAGAAAATCACTGACGCTGGCATCAGATTTCTGAGGGCGAGGAAACCAAAGGAAAGAGATGAAAAGAAATGCTTTGGGGAGAGCAGGAATATATGTATTTCTCTAAACATAAGGAAGCTCTCTGCACATACATCATTTTCTCAAAGAGATTACTGACTGATACCAGGGAGAGAATCCCATATTCCTCCCAATTATACAAAAATAATGTGAAGTCCACACAGGTAACCTACAAATTCAGTTTGAAGCAAAGAAATGAAAGTAGATTCTTCTTTTGAATTCTCAATAATAATAACCACTGTTTATTGATTGCCTACTATGCGTATGGCCTAATGCTAAATGCTTGCTGCATGTATACTTCTAATATTTACCATATTTCTACAAGGTGCCTGTATCTGAATTACTGTAAATGAGAAAGCCAAAACTGAGAGAAGTTAGGCAGCTTGTTTATAATCCATAGCTGTAAGTAGTAAAGTCAGCTTTGGACCTCCATAGCTTTCAAAGCTTGTATTTCTCCTACAGTTTCATGTCAAGTAACTGGTACAATGTCACCTAATTACTTGAAGTGAAGATTCGTTTTTTCCCCACCATTCCATACTACAAATGATTTGTCTGGTTTTTGGTCTTGCTATGATGACTGTGTTCCACATTTCAAAAATATCCTTAATGGGAGAACCATTGTAAGCCCTATATAATTCACTTTTATTTTAAGAAAAGGCAGTTATTACAATAGACCTCTTATGTCACAAAAACACAAAATAAAATAAGAAGATAGCATTATAGTTATTGGGCTCCAATGGAAAAATCAAAAGGCCATAAAGCTTGCTGATTTAAATTTCAGGAAATCAATCCAAAGTCACTTTAAGTCGGCCATCTCTAATTTCCTTTTTTCTCTTAATTGGTGATGAGTAGATTCTTAAAAAATTAAGTTTACTAGATGGATAAGGGGATTTTAACATACAAAGTAGTATCAGTACCTGAAAAAATATGGAGCTACGAGAAGAAGTAGAAAGTCTGAGGAAAGGAATTAGACTCCAGTACAGCTGGAGTACCCAGTGAAAGTAGGAGATGAAGTAAATAAGATGATAAAAACAAGGGTCAGACTCGAATGCCATGTTTAAGACGTATGACACAGTGTGGTCTAGTATTAGAATTATAGGGTTTTTTTTTGCTACATAGAGTAAGAATTCCAGTTCTGCCATTTCATTACTTGTACTTAATCTAAGATTTTGTTTCAGGTGTAAAATAGTGGTAATCCTACCTAGGAGGCTAGTATAAAAATTAAATGAAAAAAAAAAAAAGAATTAATATTTGGTACAGTATTCAGTAAATAACAAATAACATGAATGTCCCTGACACACAGAAAATGAGAAAAAATAAATGTGTGATAAATAAACGCTTCCTCTTTATCCTATTGGTAACAAACTATTACTGATGATTGTTAAGGTAGGAAGCAGAGAAATCCTAATAATTCATAAAGTCTTTCCAACCCATTGCTACCACTCTCACTCAGGCTCTCTCTCTTTCACACCTCTAATAATCCAGTGTCTTCCTGTCTGCGTCTGGTTATTCTCCTCTCAATGTGCCTGATACATGGTTGCCAGATTAAGATTTATAAAACATGGGACCAGCAGATGGTGTTATGGTTATGTCATTAGACTCCCATGTCAAGTCCCAGACCTGGTGGGTTAAAACTCACACCAGGTGTGTGTGCATGTGTGTCTAAGATCTCGAGATGAGAATGGAGGAGAAGGTATTGCAGTGTGGCCAATCTCCCTAGGGGATGACTTCGCACTTTCTGTCTCTCTGGCAAGTGCACATGCCCTATAACAAAAACAACAACAACAACAAAAAGAATAAATAGGGACCAGCAGATGGCATTATGGCTACATCACTGGACTCCCATGTAGTCAACCACGGTTCACATCCTGGACCCGGTGGTTTAAATCATGCCGGGAGCATGTGAGTGCGTGCCCAAGATCCCAAGAGGAAAATGGAGGAGAAGGGATTACGGCGTGGCCATCCTCCCGGGGGGTGGTGATGATTTCTCGCTTTCTGTCTCTCTCTCTTTCTGGCGAGTGCATGCACCATATAGCAAAAATCTCTCCAAAATAAGTAAATAAATAAATAGCCTCTCTCTAAAAAAGAAATAAAAAAGACCCCTAAAACATTATTTTAGTATGTCATTTTCACCTCAGGTGACATTCAAAACCTTTCATAGACTTGCTACAATGTGCTATTCTGCCTTATCAAGTTATTTTCTATATGAATTTTTTATACTTTATTAATTGCCAGAGGGTGTGTGTGCTCACCAGAAAGAGAGCGAGAAAGAACCACAATCTTCTTTCCTCCATTTCCCCTCCATCCTGTTAGGATTTTGGGCATGCATGCACACACATACACCTGGCATGTTCTTTAGGCCATTGGGGCCAGGATTTGAACTGTGGTTGGCCATGTGGGACCTGTTTCCATCTGCACAGCAATTAATTAATGTACTACTGCGCTGGCCCTCCACATGAATTCTTTTTTTTATAGGAGGCTTTTGCCATAGGGTATATGCACTCGTGGGAGAGAGACAGACAGTGAGAGGGAAAGTGAGAAATCCCATCTATAGGAGGGATGGCCACACTGCAATCTCTTCTCCTCCATTCTCCTCCTGGGATCTTGGGCACACACACACACATGTACTCAATGTGGTTTTAAGTCACTGGGTCTGGGACTTGAACTGTGGTCAGTCATGTGGAAGTCAAGTGATGTAACCACTATGCCATCTGCTGGTCTCCATTTGAATTCTTATCCACTCAAATTGGATCCCTTGTCGTGGTTTTCTACATAGGTCATTCTTTCTATGCCCATTTCATATCCTTTCTCTGTATCTTAGAATACTACTCCCTTCTAGTCTCAGTTAAAACCTTCAATTCCTCATTCTGCTCACTCTTGACAATCTCATGTGAAAGTTCTTCCGCTTCCTTTGATGTCTGATAGGACCTCACTGTCTTACCATGGAGTTGGCATAAACTAACTTGGATTTCAGTATCTTTTTCTGACCTGGAGTAAAGGGAAATCAGGAGTATGACTATTAATTTTCACACATATTAATGAGTATATGTAGAACAGGAACTGGGTTTAACTATGCACACACTCTAGACGATGTTAAACCAAAGAAAATAGACTATATGGTTTGATACCAGAAGGAACTCTGAAAACAACCTGAAAAGAGAATAATAGCCTGTTTTAAGAGTCAGAAATATTTGTCACCTGTGAGTAGAGGTGTTTCTGGAATATTTTCAATATTCCAGCCAAGGATGGTTCTGAGGGTGTGCCTATGTTAGCTCTTCTTTGAAGGAGATCTAAGAAGCCATATAATATAATAATAAGCAATATAGGCTTTGGACTCACGTAAACTTGAATTTAAATTCTGTTTCTAACACTTCTTGCTGTGCAACTTGAGCAAAATACTTAATCCTATTTTGCCTGTCTAATCATTTGTAAATAAATAATTTCCTCTTCAGGTTGTCATTATGATTAAACAAGGTAAGATATGTAAAATGGATAGCTATCTGTTTGGCATGTAGTATCATGTCTACTTATCCATTAATATTATACTAACACTTATTGATTATTAGTATTATTTAAGTACTCTCGTTGGCCAATTCCGAAAGCTTCAGATTTATTGACTTACAGGTGCCGTGTAAAATAAGTTCTCCAGGAGACTCTGGTCATACTGAGGGTCATTCAGCTCGCTGCTACAGTACACATCACTCCTAGGAGAAGGCGAATCTGGAGGAGAGCCTAGCCCATCCCAGTGATGACCGTCAGATAATTCAGCACTGGAGAGAGAAAAACAAAGCAGAATGACTTCAACGCAAGTTTCAAACTATTCTTTTTTTAGTAAAACTTCTAAATATGGAAATGTTAAAAGACTCACATTGAACAGAAGACTACAGAAATATTTTTCAATTACATTTCCCCTCCTCTGGGAAACCAGCAGCTAGTATTCAACAATATACTGCCGACACTGACACTAATTGTGACCTCATTCATTTTCAACATTTATTGGTCACCTGTTATGTGCTACGTCCTGGATGAAAGAGAAATGACTAAGTTAACATAACCTCTACTGTTGGAATCTTTATTGTCTGGTTGGGAGAAAAAAAGGTAAACAACTGTAATTCACTACGTTAAATGTAATATGGTGTTTTTGTGAAAAAATGGCTAAATAATCCATATATATGCCTGCTTCTATTTAGCAAAAATATGTGTATTTAGCATTAATTGTAAGATTAGTTCTATGTGGGATATAAAAATAAGAAAGACACTCTACTTGCAGATTATAAATAACTGGAAGATAAACATACACGTAACTATAAACTCAGAAATTTACATTTATATATATTTTAAATTAGCTTTTAAAAATTATTTAATTTTATTTATTACTATTATTATTTTTAAAAATTTGCTATAGGGCATGTGTGTTCACCAGAGAGACAGTGTGAGAGAAAGTAAGAAGAAAAGTGAGAAAGCAAGCCACTAGGTCTAGGACTCAAAGCATGGTCGGCCACGTGAGAGTCCAGGACTCAAACTGTGGCTGGCCACGTGAGAGTCAAGTACATTAACCACATCACCTGCTGGCCCCTTTGGTACTTCTTTTTTCTTTTTTTCTTTTTTTTTTTTTTCCCCTTTGGTACTTTTTTGATAGCAATCTTTACTTTCTACCTTTTCTTTCAGGTCACTGTATAAATTTTATATTTTCCCTCAAATGGTAATAAACTCCTTGAGGGCAAAATATGTATGTTTTGTTTTTGTATCTCCTAGAGTAAGTAGAAGTTAATGAACATCTGTGAAATGACCTAAATGAATCCTTAATGAACATCTGTTTTTAATAATAAAAATAATTACTTGTTTAATACTGTGTGCCAGACACTGCCCTACTTATTTCATTTAATATTTCTCTGTTTCACTACCCTCTTCATTTTTCTTTTTAGGCTTTTGCCATAGGACACATATCCTCTCACATTTAACTCAGCACATGTGCTTGTCAGAGAGAGACAGTGAGAGGGGAAGCGAGAAATCACCTCCCGGGGAGATGGCCATACCCCCAACCTCTTCTCCTCCTGGGATTCTGGGCATACATGCACAAGTGTCCGGTGTGATTTTCAAGCTGCCAGATCCGGGACTCGAACTGTGGTTGGCAATGTGGAAGTCCTTAGCCACTATGCCACCTGCTGTCCTCATCCCCTTAATTTTTCAAGAAAATAGTACATAATCTATTTATCTTTTCTTAACCAATTTTCATTTCTAGCTTTAAATTCAGATACTGCCCTGACAGATACGATGAATTTCTAATTCCTGGGTCTTTCTGGGCTTATGCAATCAAACTGTTGGTCCTCTAACCACACAGGTACAACTTCCTCTATTTTGCTAGGTCAGTTACCATTGTCCATCTGCTTCTAGTTTCCAAAATTTAATTGATATCTTTCATCTGTTGTTATTGTCCCTTTTGGTTCTTGTGAATTTATGTTTTTCTATTCCTTTACATCATTTTACTGATTTTAAAAAGAGTGAGCATATGGGCCAGCAGATGGTATGGGGGTTAAGGTGGCTGGATCCCACATGGCTGAGTGCGTTGTTTGAGTCTGGGACCCAGTGGCTTGAAAAAAAACCCACAATGTGCATGAATGCATGGTGCTCAAAAAATCCTGAGAGAAAAATGGAAAAGGAACTGCAGTGTGGCCACCCCACTGGGACAGTGAGTACTTTCTCTTGCTCTGTCTCCAGTAGGTGGCGTGCCCTACAGCAAGAAGAGTGGGTATAAAAGTTGTGTCCTTTATTCTTACTTTCATTCCTTCATACTCTCCCTGGTGATCCTGTCCTTCTCAAGGTCTGTTACTGCAGTGTAGTTAAGAGATACCCAGTTTTTATCTGTAGGTAGCCCTCTCTCCTGAGTGTCAGCTTTATAAATCCATGTACCTACTACTAATAGATGACTACCCTGAACATTCCATAGGGAACTCAGGTTAAACAGACTTACGGGCTCGAACCTGACCTTACTATCTTCACTCTTGCCTTAAACCTGCTTAGGGGTTTCTATTTCAATCATTATGACCCACATAGTCACTAGAGAAAAAGCCCTGAGGATGATTTTTAACTCTTGGCTCTCTTTCCACAGCTAGTAAGTCATAAAATCCTATCAATCCTTTCAATCATTAATGTATTACTTCTCCACCAAAGGTTGGGAGGGACACTCCCGTGTGCTTTCCTATTTCTCTTAACCAGCTGATTTTCTATATTGCTGCCAGATGGATCATTCTACAGTTCTGCCCCCAATTTTTTTTTTCTTGAGAGATTTTTGCTATAGGGCGCGTGCGCTCGCCAGACAGAGAGAGACACAGAGACAGAAAGCGAGAAATCACCCCCCAGTGGGGATGGTCACGCCGCAATCCCTTCTCCTCCATTCTCCTCTTGGGATCTTGGGCACGCATGCACACGCGCCCAGCGTGAGTTTTAAGCCACCGGGTCCAGGACGCGAACCATGGTTGACTACGTGGGAGTCCAGCGACATAGCCATTACGCTAACTGCTGGTTCCCTGACCCAAATATTTTGATGTTTATCTAATTTCTATAAACTCATTAACATATTATTCAAAGTCTTTCAAAGTCTGGCTTCTGCTTACCTTTTCCATTATGCCTCTACCCACTCTACCTATCCCACCATGGGCACACCAAGTGATTATGTGGTCTTGTCACTTCCCTATCAGAAGTCTAAACGCTGACCAAATCAGGCCAGCTGGACTTTCTGAAACACATTCTCTCACATTTTCCCCAGCACATACTGCTTTTACTGGCTGTGTTCTACACCACCTTCCAACACAGGAATTTGGAGACTCTCTTATTCAAGAGATAATAGATGAGTATGAATTGAGGACACATATTAGTAATAATATTAATACAAGAGATCTTTAAAAAGTTCATGTAAAATGATTATGAAAAAACTATGCAATGATTTCAAAAAATTGTTTGTACCAAAATAAACTTTATTAGCCAAATATCTACTATGTGTAAAACACATCATTAGCTCCTTTAAATATATCATTTCTAATCCTCATAATCTGGCAAGATTAATTCCAGTTTCATGGATATTTCTAAAATTCAGAGTTATCTATTAAAGGCCACACAGCTAATAAGAGATTTTCAACTTGTGTCTGTTTAAACTTTTTATCACTTCACACTAGTATTGATTTTGGAGAAAGAGTTAGGAATAAGATCGGAGAGGTGGAATGGAGACCATTCCGTAAGTAGAGCCAAAAATAAAAGGTGAGAGTTGGCCCCGTAGCCTCATGGTTAATGCAGCCGAACCCCACTTGGCCAATGGCAGTTTGAATCCTAGCCCTGGAGGCATGAAAACATGCCGAGCATGTCAGTTGTGTATGCTCAAAATCCCAACGAGAATAAGAAATGAAAGAGAAGAGATTGTGGCATGTCCGTGCCCCACTGAGGGGTGCTTCCTCCTCCCCTCTCTCTCTCGAATGTGCACGTGACTCTGTTTTTTTTTTTAAAGGCTGAATTTTTATTTAGTAGGCAATGGGTAGTAGCTAAGAAACAAAGAAGCGGGACCTGCAGATGATATAATGGTTACATCACTGGACTCCCATGTAGTTCACAGCAGTTCAAGTCCCAAACCCAGCAGCTTAAAACTAATGCCAGGCACGTTTGCATGCGTGCCCAGAATCCAGAGAAGAGGCTGGAGAAAGGATTATGGTGTGGCCATCCCCCATGAGGGGTGATTTCTCGCTTTCTGTCTCTGTCTCTTCAGAAAGCGCATGAATCCTACAGTAGAAATCTCTCAAAAAGAAATAAGGAAGAACTTGATTAGTATAAGCAAGTATTGCTTGAAGAAAATAAATTTCTTAACAATGTGCACAATACACTACAGATGAAGAACTTTAAAGGAAGAAAGCTAGTTAGGAGCTCTTACCTTCCTAGTAGCAGCTGTATAGCTCTCGTATCAGTTCTTATGTCATGTTTCCAAGATGTATTCTCAGTTGAAGGGAGGAGGTGATCGTCAATGTAATCTTTATGTTGATTTCTAGATGAGGCTCTGATTATAAGGCGTGGAAAAATATATTCTCCATGAATGGTTAATTGATGGGAGAAATCTAAATCACAATGAACTAAACTAAGACCATGTGAGCTGTCCCAAATTAAAAAATTTAACATATTTTAGACATAACTACCTTAAATATGCATAAAATGACATGACTTGCAAAGCTCTTTTGTACATTAGAATCCCATTTCATTTCTGTGAGGTAGGATGGAGGATATATCTCCATTTTATACATAAACACATCAGATTAGAGAGAACAAAGAATTTACCCAATTACATAGTTAGCAAGTGCCAGTCCTAGGATTATTTTTTGAATATCTTAATATGGTGTCTTTCCCACTACATAAAGAACTATCTGTTGAAAGATTATTCAATCCATAACTTGACAAAAGATACAAGTTGACAACTACTGAGAAATCAACTGTTGAGGTTCATGTCTATAGTGTAACCTACTGTGTTGAAACTCTAAGAGACTCTTCCTTCACAGGAGGATGAACTTTGTCCAACAACATGCTAGTATCTGGGCTTGATTTCATCGCAGAAATCACCATGGCATTACGTAGTTTGTTTCCTTGTTCCAAAAGAGCTGAAGAGAGCAAAAGCAAAGCATGAAATATTTAAATTCAGTAGAAACATGCAATATTCAGAGTGCATTTCCTTTTATTACAGGACTCACTGAGCATAATGGCTTGCTTATTTTCCCCACTAGCTTGAGCACTTCATGAGGACATTCACTTAACAACAGATTTTTTTTCGTTTCTAAAGAATTATTTTAATGTAATTTTTATATTTATTTTTAAATTTGACAAGAAAGAAAGGGGGCAGGGGTTGGATGTGAGAAAGCAAGTTGCCAGGTCCAGGATTCAAACTGTGGTTTGCCATGCAGCAGTTTAGTGCCCCACCGATCATGACACCTGCTGGCCCCAAAGAGATGTTTACTGAGCTTCTTATGTACATTGTTTGAGATGCTGGCATTACAGCAGTGAACGAACTCTCTATTTCAGAGGACTGGCACTGACTTCCTTTTGGGAATTGTTATATCCACATATGACTCTTGCAACTGCTATTTGTATGTTGTATGGTTAGCAATGTCTATAAATTATTTTTGTATCCAGATACCACACTGGATTCTTTTATTATTTATAAGAGTTTAAAATCAACCTGACCCAGGAAACACTTAACTACGCTAGCTAAATCTACAGAAGCCATAGTGATAAATCTATTCTAAATTTATACTTTGATGAGAAGAATGCTAAAGAAGTTTCTATGACTCACCCAAGATCACACAGCAAATGAACAGAAACCCATCTTCAGTCTTTTAGACAGGTAAAATTTATCCCATCTCTAAGTAACAATAGCAACAGTAATTACAGAAGCTAACATTTACTGAACTCTCACCATGAGGCACTATTCTAAGTAATTTACATGTATTAACCCATTTAATCCTCCCCCAAAATCCTCTGAGATGGGTACTATAATTTCTTTCATTTTCAGTTGAAAAAACTGAGGTAGAAAGGGCAAGTTAAGGACCACTGGTATTATTCTAAGGAACACTGGGAAGTATTATTTTTTTTTTGAGGTTCCACAGCTGCTTAGAAAAAAACAAAGACTAGAAATAAAGTGCCTTCTTCCTAGTCACAAGTTTTATTACTTCTAAAAATAAAGATGTAGTGGTCAGGCCAAGGAAAGTCAAGCCAAACAGACCCATACATATATAATAATTGTTTCTATTAAGAGTTCAAAAGATAACTTACAAACTTAAAAAAGAAACCCTTAAATATTATATGTTTAATGTGTGTTATGAGTATGCTAAGCTGTAAAAGAAAATAAAGATCATCATTGGGTCAGGCAGAATTCTAAGATGGTTCATTCAAAATTCCCAGCCCGATTTATGTATGTTAGGTTGTCGGAAAGTCATGAGGCATTTCTGCATAGAAGAATACATCAGACTTTTCTGATGACCCATAGATAACATGGCAGAGGGCAAGACAGAGCAAGTGTGGAGCTAGCAGAGACTATCAGTGTCTGTGTCTCCGTCTCGTTCCCTCTCCTATAAACTCACCAGGCCCCACCTGGATGCCTAATCACCTCCAGAGGTCTTACCTTTCAATACCATAACAACTGTAATCTTTATACCTTAACAATATAATCAAATTTCAACATCTGAATTTTAGGGGAACGTAGTCAAGGTACAGCACTTTGGTAGGCTGGCCCTAATGATGTAACCATTTTTATAGCCATTTTGTCTGGCTTGTTGGAAGACATGAAGCCAGAGACTTAACGCATAAGAAGGATTTACATAACAGATCATGCTGTCTTGGAGATGGAGGGGACCAGAAAGACCAGAAATGTAGACAGCCTCTGATGGTAGCTGAGTAGCCCCTCCCTGGCTGAGAGCCAGCAAAGAAATGGGACCTTAATTGCACAACTGCTGGGAACTGAATTCTGTCTGCAACAAGAATAAGCTTGGAAGTGAATTTTTCTCGAGATTTCTGTTAACAACTCTGCCTGGCTTACACCTTTATTTTAGTCCTATGGTATCCTAAGAGGAAAATTAAGTCATGCCATGTTGGATCTCTGACCTACAGAACTGTAAGCTAATAAATGAATGTTGTCTTAAGGCACTAAGTTTGTGGTAATTTGTTATGCAGCAATAGAAAACTAATATACCCATTAATGCCACTGTCTTGGAATATTTATCTTACAGTTTTTGTCTTTGCACGTACATTCCTGTGTGCATGTTTGTGTGTATTTCTTTAGCAAAAATGGAATATTGTGTATACTATTCTGTAAACTAGTTATACTTAATATGCATTAACTTTTTTCTAGGTAAATAATGGCTATACAGCATTCTATTAAGAATTAATTGTATCACTGTTATTTATTTATTTTTGCTAGAGGAACAGGCACTCACCAGAGACAGAGGGAGAGGGAGAAAGCAACCCTCAGTGGGGTGTGCTCATGCTGCAATCCCTTCTCCTTCACTGCTCCAACCTATCAGGATTTGGGGCATGCATGCACATCTGTCCAACATGTTTTGTAAGCCACCCGGGCTAGATTTCAAACTGTGGTCAGCTATGTGAGATCCATTTCCCTTAACCAGTAGGCTATAGGGCAGTCCCCTAACTATTTTCAATTCTTTAAACAAAATATTGGGTCACTGGAAAAGTCATGATGTATTTTTCTATGCAAAAATGTATCTTGACTTTTCTGATGGCCCAGTATTTCTTCCGTGTTCTCAAAGCTCAAGCATTTACCTCTATCAAAGAATTTATCATGCAACGTTATTATTATAATTATCTATCTTTTTCCATTAACTTTGAGTTCAGGGATTAGCTCTTGTTGGCATTGTATCTTTGGTCAGGCACAGTGTCTGACAGATGTCAAGCATTTGACAAAGTGTTTTGATGAATGCTTCCACTGTTGCCAATATCACACATAATGGTAATGTGTCTGCTTTTTAGTGTGTCTCTTTTAGACTGAATTCCTTAAGGGCAAGAACTGTAACTTATTTATCACTGTAACCCCAAAACTCAGAACAATGACTGCATGAGATAGGTACGTAAATGATAACTGTTGAATTGAATCGAGCTCAGTTTTCATCCCTGTTAAATAAAAACTCTCTGGGAAAGGTAATATTTGAAAATTAACTTCAGTCGTTAACATTTAAATAGGAATGGGTACTTAAAATATTTTCCAAAAGTAGTATTTTTTTTTTTTTTTTAAAGAGAGATTTCTGCTACAGGGCACATGTCACAAGAGAGGCAGAAGCAGAAAGTGAGAAATCACCTTTCTTGGGGGGTGGGGGGTGGGGGGATGGCCATGCCATAATCCCTTCCTTCTCCTCCACTGTCCTCCCGGGATTTTGGGCATGCACACAATATGCGCCTGGTGTAAGTTTTAAGTCACCAGGTCCAGGACTCAAACCATGGTCAACTATGTGGGAGTCCAGTGACATAACCATTATGCCATCTGCTGGTCCCCCAAAAGTAGATTTTAAAAAGGAAATGAACATTAAGGAAGACAAGTAAGAGAAATCGAGCACAGGTAGTCCATTCATTGGCCTTCAAATGGTTTCAATGTTGAAATAACCATACTTTAGAAAAGATCCTTTAAAACTAAGGCATGCCAACAAGAACATTTTATCTTGACTTTCCAAGAAGTTGGTATCCAACTTATGACCTATCACAGTACTTTAACTCAACCATTTCCTGAACACACCAAAAAGGCACTCACAGAAATTTAATGAAAGAAATAATGGTCTCAGGCCCCTGTTAAACACAGGAAAATACAGATATTCTGGTTTTTGTTCTAATTCCCTGCTATCTCATATATAAATCCAATTCATATGTGTCAGATGTGTAGTTGGTGTTTCATAGATATTCACTGGTTGACTGAGTTAGCTCTTTACCCCCTCTTCTGGTATACCGTCAGTATAATGAATATCCAGGAAAAGATTTAGGTTTCTGTATTGTTATATCCCTTCTATGACCTCAGCCTAGGCCTACTAAACTGGATGACTTAATCTTAGTCTCCCAGAATCTTGGGGTTGTAAAAGATCTTTAAAGATCATATCCAGGGGTCACCCCATGGAGCAGCCATTAAGCACTGTGCAGGGAGAACTGGATCCCACAGGGTTGACTGTGGTCACAGTCCTAGCCCCTACAGCAACATGTAGAATGTGTGCCTTGGATCCTGATGGGATAAAGAAATGAAGGAAAAAAAGATTGTGGTGTAACCAGGCCCTATTGTGAGGCACATTTTCTTTCTTGTTCTCTCTCTCTCTGGTGTGTGCATATGTCCTTTGGCATTAAAACATTAAAAAAAAAATAGACTGCATCCAACTGTCTACTCAATTTAATCCAATCTGTAAGGGTCTCATCAGAAAGTTATACAGCCCATGTGTGACCATGTACACTGATGCAGATATCCCAGCCTCTTGAAGCAGTCTTCTACCGTTTTGCATAGGTCAGACTTTTAATTCAGACCATGTCATAATCTGTCTTTTATCCTTAAATCCATTGACCCTAGTGACTCTAATAGAAGAGATCGTATGTTGGTAGCCCATGGGTTGTGTGAGGCTTGAACAGTTGGCCAGCACAGTTTGGATGGGGGAAAAAAAAAGCAGGCCTAGGTAAATAATGAACTGACAGTAGGAAGAGGCAGAGGGCTTTGCTTGAGAGCAGAGGAACAGCTTTCCCCTATGACAGAGCAGGGGCTCTCTAACTCTATCTCTAAGCCTGTGTCTTCATTTTAAAAAGGGGATAAACAATCCCCACCTCATATGGTTTTATAAGATTATGTATATAAAGTACTGCATGGTAGTTAGCACAAGATTAGTGCTCAATAAATGGGAGCTGTTCTCTCTAGTCTAAAAATCTCTTGGTAGTCCAGTTCCCTTAGAAAGAATTCACCTTAATCCTTAATGTCACTTTCTTAGTAAATAAGTCCTTCCTTTACCAGCTTATGTAAAACTGACACCCCTTCCTTGTACCCTCTTTGCTTCATTGTTCCCTATTGCCACTATCCCCATTTAACACTACATACTTATTTATCTAGTCCACCATTTATCTTCCTATCTAGAATATAGTAAGAGCCATAACGTAGGAGTTTGTATCTTTTAATTTAAACTGAAGTATTGCTGACACCTAGAGGACTGCCAGACATGTGAGAGGTACTAAATAAATAACTGCTTAATGAATGAACAAGTATCTTTCTCAAAGTCTGGTGCCCACGTCCACAAAAATTACTTCAGGTGGGAGTGCACAAGTGCTGAGTATAGTTGGACAATTTTCTTTCTTTCTTTTTTTTTTTTTTTGAGAGGTTTAGCCATAGGGCGTGTGCACTTGCCAGAAAGAGAAAGAGACAGAGACGGAAAGCAAGAAATCACCCCCAAGGGGGAATGGCCATGCCACAATCCTTTCTCCATTCTTCTCTCAGGATCTTGGACACACATGCAGATGCACCTGGTGTGAGTTTAAGCCACCGGGTCTGGGATTTGAACCATGGCCAACTACATGGGAGTCCAGTGACATAGCCATTACGCCAACTGCTGGCCTCCAATTTTCTTTTCTCTTTTTTTAAAATTATTTTAAATTTAATTCTATTTATTTATTTTAATTTGACCAGAAAGGGACAGAGTGAGAGATAGAGAAAGTGAGAAAGAAAGCCACCAAGTCCAGGACTTGAACTGCAGTCGTCCTTGTGGGAGTCCAGCGCCTTTAACCATCACGTCACCTGCTGGCCCCAATTTTATTAATGTAGTCACTGCAGTGAAGACTAATAGATTATAGTCTTGGACTATATACTTATTTTTATACATAACTATGTATATATAAAGTTTATTTCACTCATAATGTAGAAAGCATAGGTATACATGACTGAGCATAAGAAAGAGAACACACCCTTTACAGGTTCTCATCACACAATCCCTCTCCCTAACTCTCTAGCTCCTCAGGATCCTGGGCTCGTATGCATGTACCTGGTATGTTTTTAAGCCGACTAGGGATCTGAACCGCCATTCAGCCTGTGGCTTCCAGTACTGTAATTCAATCTGTTATTGGCTGTACCACCAGGTTGGGCTTTGCAGTATAGCTTTAACAACAGGGAATAATAAGACATTTCAGCTGAAAAATAAGAATGGAATGTTTTTCTTTATCTAAAAAAATGTTCTTACTAATGTATGTAATGTACCCAAGTAGTTATTTAAGAGACTCTTCCACTAATGCTGTGGATCTTCTACTCTAGAAATTTTATTTGTGGATGGGAGATAAATTTGTATCATGCTATTGATGTCAAAGAGATATAGAGTTGACCATTACAGTGTAATGCAAGTCAACTGCTTTTATTATATCACCCTCTAATATGAGGTAATCTAATTCTGTTCCTATGTGCTTTTTTATTTCAGTCTGAGCCTCTTCATGGGTAAACTGTCTTTTTTCTACTTGTTAGGCCAGGAGTCATATGTAATTCCCAGGCTTAAGACGAGCAGTTGTTTTGCACTAAGTGTTCCCACTGAGACTGTTAAGTTTTCAGAATGTGAAATGGACTTGGTACTAGATTCTAGAATGGTAAAAGTACATGCTGCTGATGAAACAAAAATCTTATTTGCTTTAAATTATTTGGGAAAAAATAAGGACAAAAATTTTCTATGGCAAAGACTTCCCCCTCATATCCAGTTTCCTTTTAAATGGTTATTTCCCCAGACTCACAATTACCAGTACCCAGTAATTATTTAAAAGGTTAGTTGGTGGTTTAATAGGGCTGCTTTTAAATGGTGAGAGAGTCTAGACTCTAACAAGGCTGCTTATTTTTATTGGCCTATGTAGTTCAAACAGAAGTCTTAGCTCTCCTCTCTGTAGCCTGGCTAACAAGCAGGGCAACCCCAATAAATATGGCTTCGTCTCAGTTCATAGATATATTCATACCTGAAAGAAGGTCCTTGGTAGGTGGGTTATTTGAGGAAAGAATGCATGAATCACTGTGACTCTTGGCAGCTGTCCTCATTTGAGGCTGGAATTGAGAGCTGTTGAGAAGGGACATCTGCTTCCGTGGAGCCTTGTCTTTCAGGGTTGCAGCCTCTACACTCTGTGCTGAATTCACAGGGTACTGTGGTCCAAAGAAAGGGTCCTTTATTGTATCTGAGTTCTCTGCAAAGTACAAGTGGTCCTTTCCCCTGTTTTAAAAAATGGAGAACGTCGGTAGTATATAATCCCTTCTGTAACATTCTACTTTGTTAGAGACAGAAAGTAGACCAGTGGTTTATAGCAACGTCGCCTGGACTTTGGAAGAGGTGGCTTACTTGTAATTTGACATGGCAAATCTAATTGATTTCTCCTAAATTAAATAAATAATGGATGTTTTATCTATGGTGGTGAGGGTGCAGCTTAAATGAGACAATAAAATAAACAGCTCAACCGAACCAACACAATGCAAATGCTGCATAAATGACCACTTAGAACAAAATCGTTTCTCTTACACCACTGTTCCACAAAATAATGCCCTTCCCTCTTTTACCTTGTGGGTATCTATCATGGCATCTATCTATCATTTGGCCATATTTATTTGTATGTTGGTCTTTCCACTCTGTGAGCAGTCCTCAGTAACAAGAACTGGTATTAAGCCAGGACCAGAGTGGGTGCTTATCTGCTGAATGAGTGTCTTATTCTACCTCTAGTCTTTTACTTACTCAGACAGTAGGGACATCTGCTTCCGTGGAGCCTTGTCTTTCAGGGTTGCAGCCTCTACACTCTGTGCTGAATTCACAGGGTACTGTGGTCCAAAGAAAGGGTCCTTTATTGTATCTGAGTTCTCTGCAAAGTACAAGTGGTCCTTTCCCCTGTTTTAAAAAATGGAGAACGTCGGTAGTATATAATCCCTTCTGTAACATTCTACTTTGTTAGAGACAGAAAGTAGACCAGTGGTTTATAGCAACGTCGCCTGGACTTTGGAAGAGGTGGCTTACTTGTAATTTGACATGGCAAATCTAATTGATTTCTCCTAAATTAAATAAATAATGGATGTTTTATCTATGGTGGTGAGGGTGCAGCTTAAATGAGACAATAAAATAAACAGCTCAACCGAACCAACACAATGCAAATGCTGCATAAATGACCACTTAGAACAAAATCGTTTCTCTTACACCACTGTTCCACAAAATAATGCCCTTCCCTCTTTTACCTTGTGGGTATCTATCATGGCATCTATCTATCATTTGGCCATATTTATTTGTATGTTGGTCTTTCCACTCTGTGAGCAGTCCTCAGTAACAAGAACTGGTATTAAGCCAGGACCAGAGTGGGTGCTTATCTGCTGAATGAGTGAGTGTCTTATTCTACCTCTAGTCTTTTACTCAGCCAGTAACAAAGACAAAAATCATGATTACAGTGGGAGTTAGCTATGAGATTGACCAGAATTTAGGTGTGGTATTTACCTTGGTGTGGTTGATCTACTACTGTTGGCCACTAAATCTTTTCCATCCGTTTTGACGGCAGGTATTCTGTGATGCCCTGATGGAACCAGAAACTGGGTACTATTGGGTTCGGTATTTTCTCTGAATCCCTGCTCATTTACAAGTTTATTTTTGGTCATATCAGTAGTAGGAAGAGGACTATAGCTGTTGTAAGTTTCTGACAGAGGCTCTAGGACAAGTGAGACCTGAAAGAGACACATGATATATCCAAAATTTTCATTAGCATGGATTAACTAACTTAAAGACTCTCCTATTTAATATTAATCATAGTACACAAAGTTTACATTGTATACAAGCCTAATACGTTTAATTATACGTAATGGTCTATGAATAAAAGGATGACATGGCATCTACTGCATCCTTATGGTTAACTGCTTGGGAAAATAAGTTCTACACTGGAGATGAGGTGAGGTGAAAAGGGAGTAACACTACAATGAAAAAGTGAGCTAGTGGTTAAGGGAGCTGGATCCCACCTGACTGGCTGTGGTTAGAAATGCAGCCCCAGAAGCCTGAAAAATCTGCCAGGCACAGGTGTGTGCATGCTCAAATATCTGACAGGATAGAGAAATGGAAGGGAAGGGATTGTGGTGTGACCACACCCCACCAGGGAGTGAGTGCTTTCTCTCTCTCTAGTGAGCACATACGTCCTTTGGAAATTAAAAAAGAAAAGGAAAAAAAAAAAAAAACCCCAAAGATGAAAAAGTAATCACTTGGAGTTTCCTTATCATCTCATTTCTGTGAGTTTAAGTTCTTTACTAAAAGGCTCTCTGGTTCTCTGAAAAGCACAAAAGAGAAAAGGCTAAAGGAGAAACAAAAATCAAAACACATCGTGAAGTAAGACCTTGGCAAAGAACCTGAAGAATATACTCCAAAACAAAAGAAGAGCAGTGTGGATGGGCCAGCCAATAGTGCAGTGGTTAAGAGTGTCAGATCCTGCATGGCCAACTATGACTCAAATCCTGGCCGTGGCAGCTTAAAAAACTGTGTGTGTATATGTCCAAGATCTTGAGGATAGATAAATGGAGGCAGAGGGAGGGACTGCAGTATGACCAAGACCCACTGGGACCTGTTTTCTCTTTCTTCTACCTCTCTGGAGAGCAAATGCACCCTCTAGCAATTAAAAACAAAAAGTATTTTTTAAAAAAAAGGAAAAGAAAAGTGGCATTGAAAGTTGGGTTTCAATGACAAGAAAAATAGAAGGAACTTTTCAAGCAAAGTTAAATAATGATGAATAACCTAACATAAAAATGAAAAATTGCAGTAAGGTGTTTTAAGAGGTCTCTGAGAAGGTCAATGGATTATTTTGTGCAATAAAACTGCCAAGGCACAAACTCAATAAAGACACTTGGGTCTTGAGGAGGAAAATTCTCTTCATGAACCAGGTAACATCAAGTCCTTCAAATCTATATATCAAGATTTTTCTAGAGACAAATGACACGAATGCACTGGGATGGATACTGCCAGAGATCACTGTAATAGCATTCTAAATGTCCAAATGCAAACATCAGGAAGTGTCCCCTTACTACTTATCACTTGTCAAAGACTGTCACTGCATTCTAGAAACAAAGCAGGCACTGGAAATAAAGGCTATATTCCCGGGCTTCACAATGACCTGCTGACTGCCCACTGAAATTTCCTTTTGCCCTAAGCAGATCTGAACCAGTAACAGAACAACTCTGGCCTATACTACTCCTGGTCTATGAAGTCAGGGTCAGAGAAAGTCCAGGCACCTGCCACACCCATCTTGTGATCAAAACGCAGGGGCTGGCCTAAATCTTCTGTTCAACTATTTGTTGATACCAGCTCTGTGCCAGGTTCTGTGCTCCCTGCCTGAGATAAAAAGATAACTACAACATGTCTCCTGACCCGAAGGATCTTAGCACCTTGTAGGGGAATTTAAAAAATGCAATTTTAATATAAAACAGTGAGTTCTGATATACACATATGTACTGAGAGCTAAGGGAATACCAAGGAGGGGTTTGAACTTGGGGAGGAGGTAAAAAAGGAACGCCAGGAATGGTTCCCAGGAGTGAAATACAAACATCTGAACTTAGAATCTTAAATGTGATTGAGAAAGATAAAGCTGAGGGGAACTGAGGTAGAACATTATAAGCAGGGTGAAGAATATTTAGAACTCTGGAGGTTTAAAACAGAATATTGGGGCCAGCTCCATGGCCTTGTGTTAAGGAAGTCAGATCCCACATGGAGTTCAAATCCCAGTCCCAGTAGTTTGAAAAACACTTTGGACGTGTGTGTGTGTGTGTGTGTGTGCCTGTGTGTGTGTGTGTGCCTGTGTGTGTGTGTGTGCCTGTGTGTGTGTGTGTGCCTGTGTGTGTGTGTGTGCCTGTGTGTGTGTGTGTGCCTGTGTGTGTGTGTGTGCCTGTGTGTGTGTGTGTGCCTGTGTGTGTGTGTGTACTCAAGATCCCATCAGGATGGAGAAATGGAGAAGGGGCTGTGTCATGATCGCATCCCATTGGGGGTGCTCTCTTTCTCTTTTTCTCGTGAGCGCATATACCCTCTGTCAAAACAAAACAAGTAAAAACCATGAAACACAAAAAGAAAAAGAAAAAAAAAATTGTTCCATTAATTCCTATCAATCTGAGGGACCTCTACTCCAACCTCTCTGTGTCCCATAATGCACCCAACAGACTCCTGCATTCACTGTCTTGATCTTTACTCGCGTCCACCTGACATACCCTCCCAATACTAGTTCTCCCTTGTGCTCACTCCTCTGCCAACCTCTTCATTGAACCATGTAGAATTTCTGTTTTCTACAGACTACCTTTAACACTTTAACTGAACATTTCTTCCTTATAATGTCCCTATTTCTCAAAGTCTTCTCCAGTGGAAACTACTTTCACTAGGCAGTAAAAGGGAAATTGACTATACCATTCAAGTGCTATCTCCAGACCACTGCTCTCTCACCTAAACATATTACTCCTCTTTTTTTTTTCTTGGAGAGGTTTTTGCTATAGGGCATGTGCGCTCACCAGAAAGACAGAGAGAGACAGAGAGACAGAAAGCGAGAATTCACACACACACACACACACACACACACCCCAGGGGGGATGGCCATGCTGCAATCCCTTCTCTTCCATTCTCCTCCAGGGATCCTGGGCACACACGCACACGTGCCCGGCCTGAGTTTAAGCCGCCCGATCCAGGACTCGAACCACAGTCGACTACATGGGAGTCCAGTAACAAAGCCATTATACTAACTGCTGGTCCCTAACATATCACTCCTCTTCTGAAGCCCATGCCATCCAGATATTTTATCACTCTACCATGCTTCTCACATCCGTAGCAGAACATCCTTAAGGATACTCATGGGTCGTCTGACAAAGACTCAAGGTTCTCTTTAGCACTAAGTTGCGTACAATGACCTACTACATCTACAATGTCTAGCAGTATCAGACAAAACAAGCTAGTATGCTTAATTTTCATACTTATGCAGTCCACGCAGCATTTAAAAATTGTTTTGAATGATTTAACAATGCTTTATAAAATCAGATTTTTAAAAAAAGTCTTTAACTTTACTTATTTATGTTGACTAGAGAGGGAGAGATAGCGAGAAAGCAAACTAGCAGGTCTGGGACTCAAACCGTGATCAGCTATGTGGGAGTCCAGAGCCCTTAACCACGTTACCTGATGGTCCCATAAAACTGGATATTTTATAAAAATTCAGATTTCTATCTTCTCATAAAAAATCAGATCTTACAATGCAGGGTCCAAAAGGGAAAAACATGGCTAGAGTAGACCAGTTTTTCTAGTCAGGATCTGTGCTCCAGTTGTATCGTCTCTAGCACATCCCAAGGTGAGGCAGAATGACAACTGCTGTTCATAATCACAGCTGGGATGCTATTTATTTTTTTTAAAGAAATTTTTATAGTAAAATGAATAGCTTTATAAATGTAGTTCTATGAATTAAAAAATGTATATAGCTATACCACCATAATAAAGATATGTAACTTCCACATCATCCCAAAAAAACCTACCTTGTATTATCCTGCCATAGTCACACCCTTCCCTCACCTGTAACGACCCTAGCAGTCACTGACTATAGCTTTGTCTTTTCAAGAATGTCACATAAATTATACAGCATGTAAACTTCAGATGGACTTCTTCATTCAGCAAAATGCTTCTGAGTCTTCTGTGTGGTGTGTTCATGCCTTTTTATGGGTTGAACAGTAACTATTGTTAATATGGCTTCTCACAGTGACTGAGTTCCAAATACTAAAACAGCTGTGCATTCTTAGGATAAACCCCACTTGGTCACAGTACTGTTCTCTTTATATGTTATGGGACTCAACTTGCTAATATTGGGATGTTGAAAAAGTCATGATGTATTTTTCTATGTTTTTCTATGCAAAAATGTGTCATGACTTTCCAACAACCCAATAATTTTGTTGGGGATTTTTTTTAGGTCCTACACTCATGAGGAATAATGTCTTGTAGGTTTTGTTTTAGAGTTTTTTTTTGTTATAGGGCGCATGGGCTAAGCAGAAAGAGAGAGACAGACAGACAGGAAGCGAGAAATCACCCCTCCCCACCCCAGGGGGTTGGCCACGCCACAGTCCCTTCCCAGGGGGTTGGCCACGCCAGTCCCTTCTCCTCCATTCTCCTCTCGGGATCTTGGGCATGCACGCACACATGCTTGGGGTGAATTTAAGCCACCAGGCCCCGGACTTGATTCATGGTTGACTACATGGGAGTCCTGATTCATGGTCGACTACATGGGAGTCCAGCGACATAGCCATTACGTTAACTGCTGGTCCCATGTCCTGTAGTATTCTTATACTGTCCTTCTCTGGCTTTGGTATCAAGGTGGTGCAGGCCTCAAAGTGAGTGTTTTTTTTTTTTTTCCTCTCCTATTTTCTAGAAAAGTTTGTGTAAAATCAGTGTTATTTCTCCTTTAAATGTTTGGAAGAATTTGCCAGGAAAGAGATTTGGGCCTGGAAACTTTTGGAGAAGATTTTAAACAACAAATTCAACTTTTGTAAATTGTTACAGGTCTATTCAGGTTTTCCTTTTGATCTTGAATATTTCATTAAACTTTATTTATTTATTTAAATGTTGACCAGAGGGGGATTTTTGATCTTGAATATTTCATTAAACTTTTTTCATTTATTTATTTAAATGTTGACCAGAGGGGGACAGAGAGAGAAAGAGCAAGAGGGAAAGTGAG